CCATAAGATTCGTCTGCAATAAACCAGATGAACATTTTACTCACATTTTTTTTTTTTTTTTTTTTTTTTGTCTCTCACTGCTCTGGCCTCTCCCGTTGCGGAGCACAGGCTCCAGACGCGCAGGCTCAGCGGCCATGGCTCACGGGCCCAGCCTCTCCGCGGCATGTGGGATCTTCCCGGACCAGGGCACGAACCCGTGTCCCCTGCATCGGCAGGCAGACCCTCAACCACTGCGCCACCAGGGAAGACCCATACCCACCTTTTATGAACCAGATTGTCCTTCATTATCGAGAAAAGTGTCCCAGTGAGGGCCAGCAACATAGCCCTTTGTTTTATTTTGCAAATCTAAACTCCCTGAAAAGATTTTATTTTAAAACTCTTAGGTGAAGAACTTTCCTTTTATTCTCTAGAAGGCAGAAAATGTTTCATATTTAATTCTGATCATCATAAGTGAAATGAGAAGACTGTTAAAGTAGAGATATGAGGGTCAGGGAAAAAGACCTGGATTCATCTGTGAACTGTGTCAGACCTAAACATTTTTTGGAGAATGCTTTTTGCTGTATTATATAAATTATTCTTTTGAAATGTTTATAATTAACATATAGTAAAGAAAGTAAAGCAGCATGAAGTTGAAATTTATCTTCCACTTAATCTAGCAAAATACGCCTTCAGCCAACAAAGACGTTTTTTCTTCTGAAGTTTACTTGGAAGGAAGCATATTTACTGAAAACACCTTTGATGCAGGCTTTTGATGTGAAAGGGATTTCAGCTGATACTGTGGAGGGATATGAAAGAAAAAGAAGAACTTTTAAAACTGGGCTACAGAGCCCTTGTTTCCGTTTTGAATGACAGGGGCTCTGGGGCTATTTCCTGAAACAAGAAATGATGGAATGACACTTGACAAACTGTTCTGTTGGTGAGTTGTGACCCACAGTGACATTGCTACATGGAATGGACCTGCCCGCTGTTTGAAGGAACACCTTGGAAGAGAAGGTTCGGGACCGGCTCTAAAACATTGACTGTACTCTTGGTGTTGAAGCCAAAGTTTCAGAATAATAACTATAAGAAGGTGTCCCAATTTTTTAGGGGACAAAGGAAAGAAAATGAATCTATATACATAAATGTATAGTTAAATTCTGTCCTCTGTTAAGGAAAAAACCAGAGCTGGATAGTAGCTAAAACAATAACAGATTTTATTCAAGAATACTGCAATAGGGGAAAATAGACCTCAACCTAGAACCGTGCTCAGTTCTGAATACTGCATAAGCAAGTGGGAATTCATAGTGAAGGAGCAGGGCGGGGGTCAGTGTATGGAAAACTACCAAGAGGAAGCATCAGGATTAAGGGGGGTTCTGGCTAAACGGACCTAGCAGGATTCTTGCGAAGACTGGATAATCCAGAAACGAACACAGAAGTCGAAAAGTCAGGCTTATTTGAAAAGTTCAGGGGAGCCTGAGTAGAGTTGGGTCAGGGAGAGAATCTTTGTCACCTCTTCCAAAACGGATATGCAGAGTGCCACAAAAATTGTGACTGTAATCATATCATTAATGTAACAACAAACATAAAATGACCAGATTTTTATGGGGGAAGATAAGAAAAAATTATAATAGAAATCTTGGGCTGAGAAAGTCTACTGCAAATAAGCCCAAAACCAGCTCTGAGTTTCTCGGGGAAGCAGACAGTGAGGGAGACAGGACATGGTTTTTATTGCCTTTTACAAAATGAAACATTCCAGTTCATCATGAAACAAGCATTTTCTGGCTCTGGTATCCGCGCCAAATTTCTCCAGTCGGTAGATAGCATGAATAGCCCTGGACAATGTTCCCCCAGTAGCCTCACAAGGAAGACACAGAAGTTCTACTTATGGCTGTTGCTTGTGTGGCCTTTTGATAAAAGCTGAGGCATAATGTGAAGTTTTCTTCTATGACGAAGGTGCCAAGGGGATGCAAGTTGAGTCCACGCTTTCTAGAGATTAGATTTGATACTGGGATAAACTTAGAGAACCTTGAGGAACAAAGCCCTTCCAGATACCATTTGTCTCAGCTGGACTTCTGACAGGAACTTTGGGTGAACAATTCATTACTTGAGTCTCTAATAAGTATCCAAAGGACATACCAATATTGTAAACGGAAGGGAGATCCAAATGCTCCGGTTACCGGGCATGAGGTGCCCTTTTGTGAACACTGAGGAGCCTGTGTTGTATTCTTACCAAATGGAAGACCAGCCCCTCCACCCTGGAAAAATGGGCCATAGGACTGCACAGGTACTTTGGTTATATAGATTTTTTATTTTTCAAATTTTGGTTTTTTCCCCTGGAACATTGGAAAGTCAATTTACATCAGAATTGATCCAAATTAAACATCCCTGGAGATGGTTTCTAATTTTTCCATCATTATTTAAGGCGTGTCTTTCCAAACTTTTCCTGTTAGTCTCTATTAGCCTCTCCACTAAGTGGTTTCATCTCCTGTACTTTAATAGTACTTTTCCTCGATAATATATGAAAATTAATCTATTTTCTTGGTATTAAAAATTGCACAGATAGCACATCAGAAAAATATTCAACATGATGTATTTTAAAGAGATAATTGGTGATCAACAAGGCTTTTTGCAGAGTAGGAGTCATTGTGGCTTTACCTTGTCAACATGACTTTTTTCCTCCTTCTCTCCCAGATACAGATATAGAGGACCCACAAAGACTGCACTGTCCAAAATGATAGCCATTATCCATGTGTGGCCACTGAAATTTAAATGGATTAAAATTAAACAAAACTAAAAATTCAGCCCTATTAAAACTTCCATTGTACTGGCCACAGTTAAAGTGCTCTGTAGCCACACGTGGCTAGTGGCTAGAGTACTGGACAGAGCAGAGAGAGAGGGCATTCTCATCATCACAGAAAACTCTACTGGACAGCGCTGCTCTAAGACATAAAACTCACAGGCTATTAATACAAGACATAACATCTGTAAAATCATAGCTAAGAGGATGAGTGGAATTGGTGACTATTGGAATGTACCAGAGGCCCAAAGAGAAAGGATTCCAGTCTAAGAGAGAGACAAGACATGATTAAAACAGTAGTTTATTTGGGGCTAGAGGGGGAGTCACGTGTATTAATTACAAGTGCTGTAATCACAAAGATCAAGGTCCAGGAGAAGGACAACCGTCGGACCAGAATGAAGTGTGACAGGAAACGCCCAGAAGGGGGTGTTTGGTGGTAGAACTTTCTATTTACGGCACAGAGAAGTGTTCTGGGGTCCCATCATTCCAGAAAGTGTGCACTTAAGCTGTCCGAAGGATTTCTTTATCTTCAGGACTCGTCTGAGTCTTTGACACCCTAATAATCTCTCAGATCAGTGCTGTGTTCCTCCTCCTTATTTGAACGCGGGGTCTTTTTCTAAAGTGGGCCCTGTTCTGGGGCAACACTCTGGTGAACGCATTGTGCAAACTGGCTCCTCCTGTTTTTTCTCCCTGACACCACACTGACTCGACACTGCCCTGCCCATCCCCAGACGGCTTTGTAACTAAAAATACTGCGCACAAGCTCCAGGCTCTCTGTCCGCCAATGAAGTCGCCCTGATTTGAAAGGCGCTTCCCCATCTGTTTCTCACTCTGTTGTGACCTCTTTGCCTGTGAGTTTCACGGTATTCATGGTAACATGGGTATTTCATGTCCCGATGAACAGATCTGCCCACGAATGGTGCCCCATACAAAACGGTAGTGCGACCGACAGTGCAGAGTGTTTTGGAGTATTTCAAGCTGGACCTCAAAAAGCAAGTTTCATGCCAAGGAGGAAAAAATGGTGGAGAAAACAGGTTAATGACCAGCAAGCAGTTGAGGAGGAGAGGAAGTCCTATGACATGTTGAGAGGTGTCACAAAGTCCCTGCAGCCTGGGAGATTTGACCAAGTACAGGGACAATAGCCAGAGATACTGATGACATGAATACGCTGTGACGTCTAAAAGTGAAGAGAACAAAAGAACAGTTGCCAGTGTACCATGGCAGAACCGCTTCTCCTGGGCGTATTTGACACTGACCCCAGCCCCTTATGGTGCAGATGTGCTAATAGCCCCACCTCCAGGGTGGGCTAAATGTGGGTCGTGTAGAAATCTTATGATAGAATTGCTCCCATTTACTAAATACTATGTGCTGGGAACTAGGTTAAGCACTTTTCATGAACTATCTTGTTTAATCCTCACTCCAACGTTATGGGGATTTTTTTTTTAATTGCCAGACCCCTTTTTTATTTTCTTCAAAGCTCTCTAAAAGGGGACTTTTTATTTTACCCATTTTACAGAGAAGAACATTAAGGTTCAGAAAAATAAGTAACTTTACCATGGTCATGACTCTAGTAAATTGCAGAGCTAGGACTCAGAGCTTACCTTCGGAGTCTGAGCTCTTAGCATTATATATAGTTCCTTTTAGAGTTATACCCTCTAACTTCCTTCTTACTATGGGGGTGCATTTTAACAAGCTACTTAAACTGGGTCATGGTGGGCATAGTGAGAAAGAAGGTGTGCCTGAGGAGAGGTAGTTGGGAAAAAGCAGAGTCTCTGGTGTGTTTTATCTGCCTTCTAAACGTGGGATGGTTGGGAGCCTGCTTTATCACGTCCCGGCTTTCCTCCACAGCGTCTCCATTGGAATGTCTCTCTGACACCTGGAACTCCACACTTCAAAAAACAGGCTCTTCATCTCCCTCTTCAATTAGTGATAGTACACCACCAATCCTCCACTTGTACACTTTTCAGGAAATCTTTATACCAACTCAACGTTTTGACAACACCTTCCAAATTCTCCAGTCCACCTTTCATTTTCTTGTCAATTCTTTTATCCTTCATATCTCTCAAAAATGTTTGTTCTTGGGGCTTCCCTGGTGGCGCAGTGGTTGAGAGTCCACCTGCCGATGCAGGGGACACGGGTTCGTGCCCCGGTCCGGGAAGATCCCACATGCCGCGGAGCGGCTGGGCTCATGAGCCATGGCCGCTGAGCCTGCACGTCTGGAGCCTGTGCTCCGCAACGGGAGAGGCCATAACAGTGAGAGGCCCGCATACCACAAAAAAAGAAAAAAAAAAGTTTGTTCTTTGACGTTTCCACTTTATCAGGTCTGATTAGAAGTATATCAGTTTAGTCTTGCACATAAAATATGAAGGCAAGCACATTTTATATGTTGATAGCAGGGACTTCTTATTTCTCAGGACTAGCTTCTAAAAGCTGTATATAGTCTTCACTACTCCCTAGAAGAACACCGTATTAACAATTATATCAAAGTCAAAATCATCTATTTAGCATTTAGATAGATAATGCCAAACAATTCTACTTAATAGACCAACTTGTTCACATGATCTGGAGGTTGTTTTGTGAATAACTTAGCTAGACCTTACCAAATGCAGTGTGACTCAATGTTATATTTTTTACAGATGTGCTGCATTGTACAGGAAGTTGGCATTGGGGATCCCCTGGTGATCCAGTGGTTAGGACTCCACACTGTCACTGCCGAGGGCCTGGGTTCGATCCCTGGTCAGGGAGCTAAGATCCTGCAAGCTGAGAGTCGGCATTTGATAATCAATTTATTTCTGAAAAATCTCTTAGGCCTTTCATGCTTTAGAAAGATAAATTTCAACTTCAATGTTATGATAGTTTGAACATTTGAAGAGATTCAGAGTAGTAGTAATTTTTAAGTATATGATAGGGCAAATGCTATTAAAGTACAGTTGCTTATTTCCCATATTTATTGGAATATTTATTGTTTTAGATGTTTGGAATTCATCAGTAAATAAAACAAACTCTTTGCTCTTATTTCAAGGAGAGACTAATATTAACAATTTGGAAAAGTACATTTTATTTTATTTTTTATTTATTTATTTTTTGGCCGTGCCGAGCAGCATGCAGGCTCTTAATTCCCTGACCAGGGATCAAATCCACGCCCCCTGCAGTGGAAGCACAGAGTCTTAACCACTGGACTGCCACGGAAGTCCCTACATTTTAAATAATAAAGCCAAACATGAAAAACTCCAGGAATTTTGTATCCAGTGGTGTTTAAGTGTTCAACAATTGACTCTGGAAAAATTAAAGAGAACTGACTTATACTGTTTGCTCATTTCTGTGGTGTAAATACTCCCACTGTGGCCAATTTCAGCTATCAACGAGATGGCACTGAATGCAGAGTTAGAAACACATGTGCAAACACAGCTCTCAGGCACTGGTGTGAGCCAACTCCAGCACACCATGGAATCTGAATCAACTCTGTTATAATTTAGGTTTTCAGATACCTCAATAGAGAAAGTTAGTTTAAAGAAAATGAAAATTGGGGGAGAAAAAGCAAAAAAGAGGGCTTCCCTGGTGGCGCAGTGGTTGAGAGTCCGCCTGCCAATGCAGGGGACACGGGTTCTTGCCCCGGTCCGGGAAGATCCCACATGCCGCGGAGCGGCTGAGCCCGTGAGCCATGGCCGCTGAGCCTGCACTTCCGGAGCCTGTGCTCCGCAATGGGAGAGGCCACAACAGTGAGAGGTCCGCGTACCGCAAAAAAAAAAAAAGAAAGAAAAAGCAAAAAATAAACCTCTAAAGTATACAAAAATTCTACACATCAAATAATGTGTGAAAAAGAAAAATCTCTTTACTCTTTTAACATATGATATAAGGAATAATAACACGTTCTATAAAGGCTCTGTTTACAGTTTAAACCTTTAAAACCGGGAAAAAAATTTGCAAACACCTTTTCATTCTGAAACCCTCTGACTCATCCCTAGCTAAATTGTGCAATTAATCACAGAATTTTAGAAATATGTTTTCATCAGCGAAGAACAATGACCATTTATTGAGTCCCTAGTATGGGCCAGGTATTTTAATGCATTTTCTGTATGGTAAATCTGCAAAGTAGCTATTATCCCATTTTAAAGATAAAGAAACTGAGGCTCAGAGTGACCAATTTACCTAATATCTCCCATTAGTAAATTCAATCTAGGAATCAAATCAATGTCCATCTAATTCAAACGCCTGTGTTTTTTTCATGCTGAATGCCTTTGGTTTTTGAACTGGTTCAAAATAAAATCTTTCACAAATGCTTGATGTATTCATTAATTCCCTGGACATTAAGGTCTTAGAACTCTCCTCTAAAGTAGGAGGTGATTTTAAAGCAATGGAGTCAGGTCCCCTGGTGTAGGTTTATATATTAGTTGCCCCAGGAACACCATGGCAACAAAGCATACTTCACTAGGCCTGCAGGCGGGACCGCTGGTGTTTATTCATCTCACGATGGCTCCTAGGCTGTTGAATATTCTACGTGGTGGGCACCCAGTTGTGCAGGGTAAACTCTGGGCAGTAAAACACAAATACCTTCTCCTAATCCTGTACCGAAGTAGCTCAGGGCTTCCTGTGCGACTGTGATATGTGACACAGGGACTCGGAATCACTCTAGTGAACCCTCAAAAGCAACTGATACTTTAAACAAAGATAAAATACTCGAATTCTACAACCGGATAGGACTTCAGAGATTATTTAGTTCAATCTCTCACTTCAAGACAAGGACATCAAGGTTCAGTGACTTTCCAAAAGCCGTACAAGTAGTTTGCAACCCAACCCAGGTGCCCCTGAGGTCTGCTCCCAAGTCAGGTGCCCTTTCTACTGGGTCATGCGGCGCTCCCTCCCTGATAAGGAAATCAACAAATACTAGTCCCCAAGGAGGGCATTTTGCAGAGTTAATCCCTTGAGTGGTGCAGTAGAATGGTATAAGAAACTCTCTGAAATCCCAAGGTTTCATAGCATAACTAATAAAATGGCACAGTCATGGTATTCGTACATTTCTACACAATTGAAATTTTCTTTACAGACATTACGCTTACTACTAATAGTAACACCTTAAGGCTTTATAGCATTTTATAATTTGTGGAATACTTTTTCATATATTATCTCACGATTATGAAACTTATTAAGTAGCTAGGGATTAGTATCCCCAGTTTATAGATGAGGAAACTGAAGTTCAAAGTTCAGATATCTTGCCCCACAGTAAGTAACAAAAATGGGACCAGAGCCTATGTCTGCCTCCTAATCCGGTGCTTATTCCCTCATGATATCTAAAATGAGGCATCAGAGTAGTGGACTTTGATATACTCGCGTTAAAGAAAAACAAGGCACAGAGCTCTCATTTAGGGACTTTATCCAAGATGATATATACCATCTGCAACAGAGGTCCAAGACCTAAGCATTTCACAAGTCAGTCTTCTTCCTACAACATAGGACTCCCCCCAGCTTTGTTACCCCTATGAACAGAACACTGTATATACCAAAAATACGCACGCCTCTCCAAATTTGGCAGATCTCCTTCTGCGAGGCTACGCATCTGGAAAATCTAATATCTCAAAAGCGTTTGGGCTTCTGCCAAAGTCAAATCACGGGCATCTGTGGCTTTTTCCATCTCTTGTGTAATGAGCCTGAATCTTTTTGGAAGATGCATCCTCACAAGTAAAGGTAATAGAAACTCTTTCTCTCATGAGCCTTCTGATGAAATAATTACTTGGCAGTTAGCAAGCAAAGCCTTTCCTGCCAACTTGGAATTGCACCAAGAAAAGAGCTGGGGAAAATTTCAAATATAGTTCAGAGTCTGACCCTTGAAATATGAATTCTAAGAGATTATGGTTAAAAGAGAAACATCTATTTTCATGAGGGAGGGGCAGAATTTCAGGGTACCTTCTAGTGAGTATGTGCATGTTCTCTCTTGTGTATGGAGAGATAAGACTCTAACATTTACCTTTAGGACATCATGGCATAATTGAGGGTGGAAGAATGTAGGACAGTTGCCAGAAGAACTTTCTCCTCTTATGACCTAGATGATAATAATTTGTTTTACTATCTGTGGGTATATCAGAAATATTTACTGTTGTAAACTCCCTTAACTTCATTTATATATTTTGGATTGTAAAGGTTTCAAAGCAGAATTCATTCGTCTTGATGCAACTATTAACGAAATATATAGTCATTACGGAGTATGTGGAAACGCAGAAAGACATAAAAAAGAAAAACCTCACCCAAGGGCCTTTGATATACTCTTAAGGGTGCAATTGAAAGAGCTGGATAAACAATCTTTCTTTCTGTTTCCGTGCTTTTTGGAAATGCCGTTTTCCCTGGGCCAGTGACATTGGGGAAGTAATTCTACTCTGCTTCCAAATCCAAATTGTGTGGAGCCTCCACCAAAGAGCATCTCAACACATTCCAGAATCCTGGCTACACGACATGTGAAGTGTTTATCTCGTGGCTCAAAGCATTTTAATGGGCTTCCTATACAAAATTTAGATTTTAGACTACGTCATTTTGTGTTTTAAGAGTGTAATACTGCCTTTGGACAGTCTCCCCATAAAGGACATAGGATCTTTAGTGACATCTTGAATAACTTAGGAAAAGATATCATGAATCTGCTTTGCTTGTTTGAGACAAAGCTGCAAAAGCCACTCTTACTTGTATGAGTCTGAAGCTCTAAAACATTTCTTAGCGCTAAGACTCTGTAAATAGGAAGGGAACCACAGATTTACTAAGAACGTGAAATTATCTCAGTGAAGCATGCAGATATTAGCTACGAAACGAATGTACAGGGCCAAGCAATAGTTTAAATAAGTAATTGGGTACATTTAATTCATGATGATATATGAAGACACATTATGCTATTTCTTGGAGCATTTTGAGAAAAACTATTATGCCAAGCAAAGCAATTTAAAAACCTGTACAGAAAGCTGGCGTTTGAATTGATTCCGCATGCCGGAGCACAGTAACACAGTTCTGCCCGTCTCCAAGCTCTGCGTTGAACGACACAGCCCCCTCTTCCGGGCATCCTGCTTGTTTGCCAATTTTTATCAATTGCTCGGGACAATGATTTTTTTTTTTTTTTTTCCGGTATGCGGGCCTCTCACTGTTGTGGCCTCTCCCGCTGCGGAGCACAGGCTCCGGACACGCAGGCTCAGCGGCCATGGCTCACGGGCCCAGCCGCCCCGCGGCACGTGGGATCTTCCCGGACCGGGGCACGAACCTGTGTCCCCTGCATCGGCAGGCGGACTCTCAACCACTGCGCCACCAGGGAAGCCTGACAACGATTTTGAACGCTGGCTCTTGAGGTTTTCCTGTCCTTACATACTTAACTTTCCAAGAACTTCTTCACTCTGTGTTTAGGTGTCATCAAATTTTAGGAGTTTGTTTGAGATTTTAAAGACCCGGAAAGATACTACCTCTTATCGCTACAATATGGAACTCC